GATCACACCACTGCACTCCAGCCTGGATAACAAAGTGAGACCCTGTCTGTAAGAGCAAGAAAGAAGTAGGGTTAGGCTTATAAGATATTCATGTCATGCTGCTAATAGGGGAAAGCAGACTGAAGAATAGCATGATGGTATTCCTCATTTTAAAAATTTTGTGTATCTAGGCTATATTTAGAAAGCTGTTTGCTAGCCAGGCTCATGCCTGTAATTCCATTACACCTATAATCCCAACACTTTGGGAAGCCGAGGTGGGCGGATCATGTGAGGTTAAGAGTTCGAGACCAGCCTGACCGACATGGAGAAACCTCATCTCTAAAAATACAAAATTAGCTGGGTGTGGTGGCGGGCACCTGTAATCCCAGCTACTCAGGAGGCTGAGGCAGGAGAGTCGATTAAACCCGGGAGGCAGAGGTTGTGGTGAGCTGAGATCTCGCCTTTACACTCCAGAGCCTGGGCAACAACAGTGAAATTGTCTCCAAAAAAAAGCTGTTTGCTAAAATGTTGTTGGTTTCTTTTTACCTTTCTGTATTGTGGTTTTTTTGTTTTACAAAAACGATATGTTAAATGTGTAACAAGAAAACAGAAAATTCGCCTCACTCTCTAATAAATCCATTCAGTATTAATACAGAAACTTAATAGCTGGGCATGGTGGCACACACCTGTAGTCCCAGCTCATTGGGAGCATGGCATGAGCCCAGTAGGCAGAGGTTGCAGTGAGCTAAGATGGCACCGCTGCATTCCAGCCTGGGTGACAGAGGGAGACCCTATCTCAAAAAAAAAAAAAAAAGAAAAAATTAAGTTCAAGGTTAAACTAGATCCCTGCAAGGCCATCACACCCATTCCGGGTTGTTAACTTTATTTGGTGTTTTTAACATTGTGGTAGATTAAGTAAATATTTGGTCTTTGTCCTACTTCTTGGCACAGAGCTCCTCAAAAACACTTGGAGTTTGCAGAGTGCTAGGAGTGTCTGTCATTCCTAATGATCCACTTTGGACCACACCTGAGTTTGTTCTACTGTAGGGTGACTTTTGTGGGGCCCTTAGATAGCCTCATGGTGGATTTAATCAGAAAGGCCAAACACTTGATTTGAGAATTAAAACTTGTTGGCACCACTCATCAACCTTGGGATCGCAGGGCTAGAGATTGAGCTCTATAAAAACTCTTAATTTGGGCTGGACATGGTGTTTCACACATGTAATCCCAGCACGTTGGGAAGCTGAGGCAGGCAGATCACATGAGGTCAGGAGTTTGAGACCAGCCTGACCAACATGGAGAAACCCCATCTCTACTAAAAATATAAAATTAGCCGGGCGTGATGGCACATGCCTGTAGTTCCAGCTACTTGGGAGGCTGATGCAGGAGAATCCCTTGAACCTGGGAGGCAAAGGGTGTGGTGGGTGGAGGTTGCAGTGAGCAGAGATCTGAGCTATTGTGCTCCAGCCTGGGGCAAGAAGAGTGAGGCTCTGTCTTTTTAAAAAAAAAAAAAAACTAATTTGATGAGCTTCCAGGTTGCTGAACAACTCATTAACATGCTGGGAGAGTGGCATGCTTGGAGACTTCATAGAAACACTGCAGCCCCTCCCCATCTTGGCCTATGCATATCTTTCATGTGGTTCCTCAATTGCATCCTTTATTTAAAAAATAGTAATAGTAAAAAAGCTTCTGGATTCTATGAGTCATTCCATCAAATTTTTAGACCTGAGGAAGCAGTAGTGAGAACCCTGAAATTTGTAGCCAAATGGGATACAGTGTGTAGGTAGCCTGGTGCCAAGGACTTGTAACTGGCCTCTGAAGTAGGGACAGTCTTGTCCAAAGCTAACTTCAGGTAGTGTCAGAATAGAATTGACTTGTACTCCCATTTTAAGTGTGCAGTTCAGTAGTCTTCAGTGTATTTACAGTTGTGCAACTATCACCATAGTCAATTTGAGAAAATTCATTTTAAAAAGAAACCGTATACCCGTTAGCCATCATTTCTTTCTCTCATTCCCCCAGCCCTGAGCAGCCACCAATCTGGATTTGCCTATTTTGGACACCTTATATAAATAAAATCATAACATATGTATGTAACTGGGTTTTTTTTTGTTTGTTTTTTTTTTGGGGGGGGGGGGGGGGGCACACACTTTCTTTGCCGCCCAGGCTGGAGTGTAGTGGTGCAGCCTTGGCTCACTACAACCTCCACCTTCCAGCTTCAATCAATTCTCATGCCTCAGCCTTCCAAGTAGTTGGGACCACGGGTGTGCACCACCACACCTGGCTAATTTTCGTATTTGTAGTAGAGATGAGGTTTCACCATGTTGGTCCGGCTGATCTCAAACTCCTGACCTGATGTGCTCCCAAAGTGCTGGGGTTACAGGCATGAGCCACCGTACCTGGCCTGACTGGCTTTTTATTGCCAAATAATATTCCCTTATATTGGATTCGATATATTATTTATCCATTTGTTAGTTGATTAATATTTGGATTGTTTTTACTTTTTGGTTCTTATTAATAATGTCTGGTTAGGCCAGGCGCAGTGACTCACTCACGCCTATAATCCTAGCACTTTGGGAGGCCAACGTGGGCAGATCACTTGAGGTCAGGAGTTTGAGACCGGTCTGGCCAACATGGTGAAACCCCATCTCTACTAACAATACAAAATAAGCCAGGCATAGTGGCAAGCACCTGTAATCCTGTAATCACAGCAACTCGGGAGTCAGGCAGGAAAATTGCTTGAACCCAGGAGGCAGGGGTTGCAGTGAGCTGAGATTTACGCCATTGCACTCCAGCCGGTCAACAGAGTAAGATTCCATCTCAAATGACTATAATGTCTGGTTAAAGAACTCAAGAATGTTGGTTATGAAGACAAATAGTATCCACACTTCAGTCTTGTGGGAATGTCCTAATCAGGGGCCTGTGGACCAGCTGTCTATTTTTATTGGAACATGGTCATGCTAATTAATATTTTATACCCATTGTAGGTTGCTTTCATCCAACAACGGCAGAGTTGAATAGTTGTAACAGACTGTGTGGCCCAAAAGCTATATTTATTGTCTGGTTCCCTGGCCTAATCTGTTGTTGAAACCTTGACTTTATGAAGTCTTCATGTTTACTAAATTCTTTTTCTTGTTTTTGGGCAGGCAGAGAACATTTATAACGATGAAGACCCTGAAGGAAGCGTGGATCCAGAAGGACAAGGGTCCTAGATATATATGTCTTTACTTCTTGTGATTTTAGACTCCCCTTTTTTCTTCTCAACCCTGAGAGTGATTTAACACTGGTTTTGAGACACAGACTTTGTTCAGCTGTCCCTCTATATAATAGGTACCACCAGTATGCTATTAGCCCAAACAGTGGCTGTTTTCTAAATATTAATGGGGGAGGGGGGCTTGATTCAGCAAAGCCACAGACTTACATTGAAATTTTCTTCAGGAATTTTCTAGTAACAAACCCAGGTCTAAAGTAGCTACAGAAAGGGGAATATTATGTGTGATTATTTTTCTTATGCTGTATCCCCAAGTTTTTCAGACTCATTTAAGTAAAGGCTAGAATGAATAAGGAATAGAGCCAAATGAGGTGAAGTAGGTGTCTGAGCCATGAAGTATAAATACTGAAACTTGTCACTTTTATTCAGGAAATAGGGGAGATTCAAGTCATATAGATTCCTACTCAAATCTTGACACCTGACTTTGCAGGATGCACATTTTCATACGTAGACCAGTTTCCTCTTGGTTTCTTCAGTTAAGTCAAAACTACATGTTCTCTTTCCCCATATATTTTTGCTCGTTAGTGTATTTCTTGAGCTGTTTCCATGTTGTTTCTTTCCTTTCTGTGAAATGGTGTTGTTTTTGTTTTTGTTTTTTTTAACTTGGGACCACCAAGTTGTAAAGATGTATGTTTTTACCTGACAGTTATGCCACAGGTAGACTGTCAAGTTGAGAAGAGTGAATCAATAACTTGTATTTGTTTTAAAAATTAAATTAATCCTTGATAAAAGTTGCTTTTTTTTTTTAGGAGTTAGTCTTTGACCACTAGTTTGATGCCATCTCCATTTTGGGTGACCTGTTTCACCAGCAGGCCTGTTACTCTCCATGACTAACTGTGTAAGTGCTTAAAATGGAATAAATTGCTTTTCTACATAACCCCATGATGTTGGGTTTTATTTAGTTTAAAACATCCATCAAACACCAGTCTCTGGCTTTAGAAGAGTCATTCAGGTGAAAGACATAAAACAGTGAATCAGAGGTGGCACAGATTAGTCTTTGTTAAGGTAACATTTCTTTGAAGTCCATCTCTAAAGAACTACAAGGGCTTTCAAGAGTGTCAAAGGCAGTTTGGTAGAGAGAATTTAAGGCAAAATTTAAATTTGGAAAAGGTGCTTGAACCTCCCAGCATGTTTGTCACTCGGGCCTTTACTTAGAGGTTAGAAATAATAGGCTTTGAAAGCCTTTATCACCAGATGCAATAACCAGATAAAATGTCTGGTTCTTTCCAGTCACTTAGTTTTGTTGTTGTTTTTTAACTGAGCAGATCATGCTGACCCAAAACCACTTTCATGAGTTAAGATCTTTGGGAAAATCTGAATAGCCGTAACCGTCAGGTTCAAATCTCTATTGCTTTCTTTCCTTTAAGTCTAGTTGTTTCAGAGTATAGTGAAAATGACCCTGACACAATTTTTTTTTTGAGACAGAGTTTCGCTCTTGTTGCCCAGGATTGCAGTGGCATGATCTCGGCTCACTGCAACCTCTGCCTTCCAGGTTCAAGCAATTCTCCTGCCTCATCCTCCCAAGTATCTGGGATTACAGGGATGCGCCACCACGCCCAGCTAATTTTGTATTTTTAGTAAAGACACGGTTTCTCCATGTTAGTCAGGTTAGTGTCAAACTTCCAACCTTAGGTGATCCACCCTCCTCCGCCTCCCAAAGTGCTGGGATTACAGGTGTGAGCCACCACACCTGGCCACCTTGACACAATTTTAAGAGTAAACTATTTGAGTCAGCATATCCTTTAACAAAAAGTAAACTTTGTGAAAGTATTCATTTAATTTCTAACACTGACTGGCACAAAAGAATGCAAATTGTAAACCCATGTGCAATGGAAATTGGCTATCTTTTTGACTCCACATGTGCCGCCCCTCAATGTTTTTGGTTTGGGTCAACATAAACATTCTTTAAAATACTCCAAGATGTGTCCATACATTGATCCTTTACTCAGCACATATGTATGTGAGGATTGCTGCTGGAAGACAGAAGGCTTATTTTTCCTTTCCTTGATGCACTGAGATTAGTACCAACAGCAGATGAAATAGAATCCAGCAGAGTTGTCTGGTGTTCTGCCTCTGGCCAACTCCAGAATCTTTTTAAGCAGGTCAGCCAGTATTTGCAACTTTCACAGGATGATTGCTTGCCAAGTTTCTGGCACTCTTGTCTGTTGGGAAGAGTACGTCCAAAGGGTACTTAGTGATCTTCTAAAAAGTGTTCTGGTGTTTCTGGGTTACAGATTTGGCCATATGTTTCTAAACAGCCCCTGTAAGATTGAAAGAGAAAAAGTAAGTTTATACTTTCTGCAAGTTAAAATAATACAGTAGAAAGTTTGTAACATCTGAAGGTTAGTTAGTGCAGGCTTTGTTGAGGAGATTGTTACAGTGATTTTTGGATGATCAGGAATGACTTTCCCCTAGCAAATATTTGGATGCCTCCTATTTATGAAATAGAATGAATGGTAACCTATGTGATGGTGATGGGTGGGATAGCTACACGTTTTCTCTGCTAGGTTAACTTCTTACAGGTATTGTTACAACGCCTGAAATCCTATAATTTCGGTTCTTTGGATTAGTCATTGTCTTTTCCAGATGGTACTTTTAATCTGATCCACACAAATGCATTTAGCAGATCATTGTATTCAATTGCAAGGTTATAATTTCCCAAACATTAAGCATAGTGTCAGTCATATGTGGATTAAAACATAGTATAGGCTATGCTTGGTGACTCACGCCTGTAATCCCAGCATTTTGGGAGGCTGAGGTGGGCGGCTCACCTGAGGTCAGGCGTTCAAGAACAGCCTGGCCAACATGGTGAAACCCCATCTCTACCAAAAATAAAAAATTAACTGAATGTGGTGGCACATGCTTGTAGTCCCAGCTACTCTGGAGACTTAAGACAGAATTGCTTGAACCTGGGAGGCAGGTTACAGTGAGCCAAGATGATGCTACTGCACTCCAGCCTGGGCAACAAGAGTGAGACTCTGTCTCAAAAAAAAAAAAAAAAAAAAAAACCAGTATAAGAAAATCCCCGAGGCCTGGCATGGTGGCCCATGCCTGTAGTCCCAGCATTTTGGGAGACCAAGGCGGGCAGATTACTTGAGGCTAAGAAATGGAGACCAGCCTGGCCAACATGGTGAAACCCTGTCTACTAAAAATACAAAAAAATTAGCTGAGTGTGGTGGTGTGCACCTGTAATCCCAGCTACTTAGGCTGAGGCAGGAATACCACTTGAACCCAGGAAGGGTAATTGCAGTTAGCCCAGATCATGCCACTACTCCAGCCTGGGCAACATAGCAAGACCCCCCATCTCTACTAAATAAAATTTTAAAAGAAAATCCTAGAACATTAGAGCAACAATTAAAATAGTTGCTTGTGAATTTGATGTAAATTTAAGAAATAAAATTTACAGACATCTGTATAGTGTACAGCTTGTCATGGACTTTCTTTTATTTAGTTTCAGGGATTCTGGGACTTTTGAAGAGAACATAACAGTAAAATATTCCGGGAGGGATCCTCAATAGGTGATTGGTCAGAAAGATGCCTTCAGTGATATGAACATCTCTGCTTCTACCCAAAACCACAGTGTTTGAATATTACATAAGGAATTAATGGATAGATAATGTTGATTGTTTTTGATAACACAACTGCCTGCTCTTGTAAGGAAGCTGAAAATAGCATGTGGGTAGGGTAGGGTTAGGAAAGTATGCCCAAAGCCTAGATGCCACAGAATTCCTGGTGATAATAAGGCATATTTTGAGTCCTACTAGAAACTGAAACATTCCAAATGAACTTTTGAATGCCTGACCCAGGTATTTTGGAGGTACAGGTTATCCCCTTGTCATTAGGCACCCTTAGGGTTTTTTCGTTTGTTGTTTTTGAGACAGTCTCACTGTCAACCAGGCTGGAGTGCAGTGACACAATCTCGAGTCACTGCAACCTCTGCCTCCTGGTTCAAGCCATTCTCCTGCCTCAGCCTCCCAAGTAGCTGGAATTACAGGCGCCCACCACTACACCAGGTTAATTTTTTTATCTTTAGTGGAGATGAGGTTTTGCCATGTTGGCCAGGCTGGTCTCAAACTCCTGACCTCAGGTAATCCACCCACCTCAGCCCCCCCACGTGCTGGGATTATAGGTGTGAGCCACTGTGCCAGACCTGTTTTTATTTTTTTAGGCATTAATTAGTATTGTTAAGCTTGGAAAGCAGTAACAATGCAAATACCACTCTTCTCTCTACAAGGATCACCTTGAGACTTTGTCTCCATTCCACCTGCCTGAGAAGTGGGAGCATCAGCCTGTTCCAGGTTCTTGGGTAGCATAGCCCTTTAATAAAAGAGAGCCATTTTCCATGTGTTCGTGGATAAGCCCACTTTGAAAATCATTTCCCAAATCCATTTTTTGTTTTTGACTCTAAAGTAAAATTTCCCCTAGCCCTCCCCACCATCCCCTCAGCCAGTGTTGGATGAAATTTGTGTAGCCGCAGAAACTGACTTATAAGTAGAGAGCTCTTCAGCAAGACTGAGCCTTAGCTGCTCCATCTCTTTGTTTTTCTGTTGCTGGAGTTGCACCCCACTTCTTAACTGCTTCTGGCGTTCTTCCATTTCCTCCAGCTGTTCCTGCATGAGATGGCCAAGAACATTTCTAATGAACGAAACAATAAAAACCTGATATTGTCCACTCTTATTTATAAAAAACACTTTTGTTCATTGTTTAATCTTCATAGTAGTATTGAGGCTGGTATTTATATGATAGGTTCCAAAACAGGTTCAGAGAGGTTGTGTCTTGGAAAAAAGTGACAATGCTTTTGAAAATGGTGACATCATAAAAGGAATCTTGTGTGTTAGCCACAACTTGCTTAATAGAATTCTGAGAGGGTGATCAGGCACTCAGAGGGAGTTTTTAGTATTACAATCTTAACTTGTCATTGAGGAGGATTTTGGTTGTGAAGTGAGTGAGTTGAGAGTTTCATATACCTCTCCATATGGCAAGTTTCTTTTTGTTAAGATAATTGATTTTTTGTTTAAGTATCTGTGCTGATGAGGTGAGCATGATAATTGGTAGTTTTTTGTATATACTAAAGTTGAAATTAAGTCTTTATGATCAGGCGTGATGGCTCACGCCTATAATCCCAGCACTTTGGGAGGCCAAGGTGGGCGGATCCCTAGGTCAAGAGATCGAGACCATCCTGGTCAACATGGTGAAACCCCGTCTCTACTAAAAATACAAAACATTAGCTGGGCATGGTGGCATGTGCCTGTAATCCCAGCTACTCAGGAGGCTGAGGCAGGAGAATTGCCTGAACCCAGGAGGCGGAGGTTGCGGTGAGCCGAGATCGTGCCATTGCACTCCAGCCTGGGTAACAAGAGCAAAACTCCGTCTCAAAAAAAAAAATCCCTGCCTAGGATGCATACCTGAGGAATAAAGTAAGGAAGATGTCAGCAAGTCAGTCTCTGGTTTACCTGCCAGCTGGCATGGATCCTTAAGGAAGGAGGAGGGAGTTGGTATCTTTTAAAGGGACAGTGACTAACAGATTTTGAAGAATACTAAGGAATCCAGTTGGGGTACATGCTATTATTAGAAGGATCTAGATAATTTGTCCTCTTGAGTCATATTTGACATTGTACCTGTGGCACATCAATCTGCACTGTTTGATCCTCTGGCTGAATCTCAGCTTTCACCAACATTGTCAAAGGACCTTTTTTAGTACCCAGCCATGCCTAAGAGTGTGTCATCTGAAGAGGGAAGCATCTGTGTACTGCTGTTTTGATTTCCCAGTCCTCACTACCTACCAGATCTGTTGATAAGGCATAAAAGTACTTGATTGGAGGCCGGGCGCGGTGGCTCACGCCTATAATCCCAGCACTTTGGGAGGCCGAGGCGGGTGGATCACGAGGTCAAGAGATCGAGACCATCCTGGTCAACATGGTGAAACCCCGTCTCTACTAAAAATACAAAACATTAGCTGGGCATGGTGGCATGTGCCTGTAATCCCAGCTACTCAGGAGGCTGAGGCAGGAGAATTGCCTGAACCCAGGAGGCGGAGGTTGCGGTGAGCCGAGATCGTGCCATTGCACTCCAGCCTGGGTAACAAGAGCAAAACTCCGTCTCAAAAAATAAAAAAACAATAAAAAAAAGTACTTGCTTGGAAAGGCAGTCAGCACTACCAGTGATAAGCTATGACAGTGGAACAGCCTCACTGAAATGAAGGCAAGATTGCTACAGTGGCGTTGAGGATGATCTCTCTTAATCCTGTGTTAACTACTAGATTAACTTTCCAATCAATTCAAAATCCTTCAAAGGCTTTCCATTTTAGTGGCATTCAGACCCCCCTCTAGTTTGAAACCTACCTCCAACTTGAACCTCCGTTTTCCTTCCATATGAGCATTTTTATCTAGCCCTGAACTAGTACTGAAGCCACTAGTCATATGAGTCATTTCAAATATGACTAGTCTCAATTGAGGTGTGATGTAAGTGTAAAATACACAGCAGATTTCTAAGAGCACACACAAAAGAATGTAAAATACCTCAATATTTGGTACTGATTACATGTTTAAATATATGTGCTGGGTTAAATAAAATGCATTAAGGTTAATTTAACCTGTTTTTTTTTTTTTTTTAATAGAGCTACCAGGACATTTAAAATGACATCTGTGGGCCGGGCACGGTGGCTCAAGCCTGTAATCCCAGCACTTTGGGAGGCCGAGGCGGGTGGATCACGAGGTCCAGAGATCAAGACCATCCTGGTCAACATGGTGAAACCCCGTCTCTACTAAAAAACTATAAAAAATTAGCTGGGCATGGTGGCGCGTGCCTGTAGTCCCAGCTACTCAGGAGGCTGAGGCAGGAGAATTGCCTGAACCCAGGAGGCGGAGGTTGCAGTGAGCCGAGATCGCGCTATTGCACTCCAGCCTGGGTAACAAGCGAAACTCCGTCTCAAAAAAAAAAAAAAAATGACATCTGTGGCTTGCAGTGATATTAGCACTACTGTAGCCTGACCAACACAGATCTCTGCCTGTGTGTTCTTGCCACTTCTTTCACCTACACAGCCAGACCCTTGTTCTCTGCTGCCTTCTACCTACATACAACTCATTTCTCAAGGGCCAGTACATGTCTGTCTACAGTAGCCCCCGCATTTGCATTGACAGCATTCCCAATTTTAATTTTCTACCTAGGCCAAAGACAGAGAAAGGATACATTCTCCAACTCAGGGAAGAGGGAACTGCTATAACAGTAGTATGAAGTACTAGGTGCTGTGGAAAATAGGAGGGTTATCTGTCACACATTAAGAATATCAGAAGTGAGGCCAGGCGCAGTGGCTCATGCCTGTAATCCCAGCACTTTGGGAGGCCGAAGCGGGCAGATCATGAGGTCAGGAGATGAAGACCAACATGGTAAAACCATCATGGCCAACATGGTAAAACCCCATTTCTACTAAAACTACAAAAAAATTAGCTCAGCATGGTGGCACACACCTGTAGTCCCAGCTACTCAGGAGGCTGAGGCAGGAGAATTGCTTGAACCCAGGAGGCGGAAGTTGCAGTGAACCAAGATCAAGCCACTGCACTACAGCCTGGGTGACTCTGCAAGACTGTCTCCAAAAAAAAAAAAAATGAGTAAGAGTTAAAGGGGAAGAAGTCTAGTCCATTAATAATACTGTAGTATTATTAGGCTCATGTTATTAATCTCATGTTACATGTGAGGGTGCTGAGCCACAGAGCTTAAGTAATTTGTCCAAAGTTTCCAACTCAGTGATAGAGCCAGGATTTGCCATTGGCTTAGAGCTGATACTCAAGGTAATAGACTCTATAGTGGTTCTCAGACTTCTTTGTGAAACCTCAAGAGCTGGCCAAATTGGAGTGTCCTTGGTACTTTTGAGTTAGAGAAGAACTCCACTTTTACCTGTTTTATACATTGGCATTCTACATTAAATTCTCTGGGGGAGAAGGTCCATGGCTTTAGAGAAAACCTTTTTTTTTTGGAAACTACTGGTCTAAAGAATACATAAAACTGTTTAGTCCCAGCCGGGCGCGGTGGCGCGTGCCTGTAATCCCAGCTACTCAGGAGGCTGAGGCAGGAGAATTGCCTGAACCCAGGAGGCGGAGGTTGCGGTGAGCCGAGATGGCGCCATTGCACTCCAGCCTGGGTAACAAGAGCGAAACTCCGTCTC